AAAATTTAATTTATTAAAATAAATAAATTTAAAAGGTAAAGTAAATAATATAAATAAATTTTTATTAATTTAATTTTTTTATTAAATATTTATTAAAATTTTGTTTCCAGAAAGATATTAAATGAGCTTTTCTTAAATAATTATATATATGTATTTATATAATTTGATATTTATTTTTTGTAAAGCTTAAAAACTGCCTCTTTCTATGTACCACGTACAATTCATATTATTCAAATGCTTTATTGTTATGGCACTTTACGAAAGCTAATTTTAAAAATTTCTCTTCATGTATCGTCAACGGTATACATGGCACTCAACATTTTAAATTTCGCGCTAGCATTTGTGACCAATTTTGATTGGCTGCCCCCACTCTGCTCTGCAATTATGCGCAATGTTTCACACTTTCACCATGCCTCTAATCATTTGGACGTGGCTGGGTGAACGCGGCATTACATCGATGTCAACTTTACGACATATCGCAGTGTCCTTGACGTTTGTATCTCTTTATTGAAAGTAGACTTTTAATTACTCGTAAATGTCTTATAATTATACCCGTTATTATAGAACTGCGACTGGATGCGGATGCCTGTGATGTAGAGGATTACTCTTCTCGACATTGAAATGATAATCTCGAGGTTACACGTTGGTGGAAATCCGAAATGAAGTTTAAATTCTTATCTAGCTGTCTTCACTGCTATTAAGATTGTTTACCACGTGCTTTTGACAGACTGCTAAGGTCTGCTTCACATCTGTCCGAAAAGTCGAATTTTCTAACGATCAGCTGTAATAAACATTGCATTTTGTATGGTGAAACACAATATCAAAAAATGGAAAGTGACAGTCCCGTCATATATGGACTCGAATTCCAAGTACGAATTTATTCATTATGAATTTTAAATGAACTATGTACCTTTCTATTTTATATTATTTCATGCTGTCGCCAAGTGGCATTGTCTACTATTTGCTATTTTAATATTTCCCATTACTGTAGAAATTTTAATAAATTATGAAAGAAATTAGACACATAATGCTGTTTTATGTTTAGACTAGAGCACTGTCGGCTCAAACGGCCGAGACAGATATCGTAAGATTCCTGGTAGGGACGCAGTCTTTAAAATTCAGCAACAATCAGGTTCACTTAGTGGAGCTTAACGAGGAAACGGGAAATTTGAAGACGCAAGTGTTCCAGCACCCAGTCGGAGAAATTTGGTCCTTGCAGGCTTCTCCAACTGAACCTGATGTATTCATTACATGTTACAATAGTTTGAGTGGTAAACAAGCCATTGTATATTCAATTTCCTAAACTATCGTCGCTTTATCATTCAAACTGAAATCAGTGAATTGTGAATTTTTATTAATAATTATATTTTGTGACATAAAATATAATTATATTCGATTTTTTTTCTGGTTCAGAGAATCTTAACTTTTTTTCTAGAGGAAGGCATTTGCCAGATGAAAGGAGCTATCTGGAGATTCCCTGAGATAAAGGAGTACACTAACGACATTCTGCAACTCGATAAGTTAGCCGATATTGACACAACTCCATATGGCACTGATCTTAAAACTATTGCTTATCACCCTATGGACAGCAAGAAGGCTGTGTCAGTAGTAGATAATAACTTTGTTTTATGGGATCTGACTGAAGGACCACAGGTACTTAGCTCTTCTTTTGTACAAGATCAATCAATCAAGATTATCCTGCCAATCTTATACTCGATTTTATCTCTGTTATTTTTAAAACTGTCCTCTTAACTCTTCTATACATTCAGGTTATGGTATCGGGTACTTTAGCAGGCAAGGGTCAGCCACGATTTACGAACGGGAAATGGAATCCTCACAATGGTGCTAATCAGTTTGTAACCTTGAACGATAACAATGTTCGTGGATGGGACTTTAGAAGTCCAGCCAATGCCGCTTGGTCCATTTTATCTGCACATTCACAAATCATCAGGTAATAATAACGTAGAGATTGATTCTCTGATAGAGTTGAACTTACTGCTCCTACTTCACCGTGTAATTCATTTCGCAGGGATTTAGACTTCAATGCAAATCGTCAATACTTTCTGTCTACCTGCGGTGACGACGGATACATGAAATTCTGGGATATCCGACTACCGACGGAACCGGTGCTGTCGCGTATGGAGCACTCACACTGGGTGTGGAACATAAGAATCAACCGTTTCCACGATCAGCTAGTTTTAACGTCCAGCAGTGACTCCAGAGTGATATTGTGCAGTATCGCGTCCATATCGTCCGAACCATTCGGACATATGGTGTCGGACGAGCCTTCGCAGGGCGAAGAATCTTGCGGGAAAAAGAAGTAAATGAATATATTATCAAGATGACGTTCTTAACCAATTTACACATAAAATACAAAATTTCATGTTTTATTCCAGATTAGAAGACGGTCTGGTAGGAAGATACGAGGAGCACGAAGACAGTGTGTACGCGGTGGAGTGGTCGTCTGCCGATCCCTGGACATTCGCGTCTCTCAGTTACGACGGTAGATTAGTTCTCAATAAAGTACCACGTAAATATAAATATCAAATACTCTTGTGAATCTGCAATTTTTGACGAGAGAATGAAAGAGAAGTAATATTACCTTATTATTTATTGTAAATTTAATTTTGTATCATGATGCAAAATATCATGTAAAACAAATATAATTCTAATCAATACTAAATATAATTGTATATATATATGTATAATATACCAAATACAATTTTATAGTTATTAATAAAAAGATGTATATTTACATATGTATATGATACAAATAAATAGATATTAGAACTGTTCCGAAATCTTGCTAGCTATGTTTCTTAATTGTCCATAAACCTTGGAAGGAGGACTGCCCAAGATTAAATTGCATATTGCCCTACGAGCTAATTGTATGTTCTGGAATGAACCGAGTATGTGTATCTTGGTATCGGCTAGCACAATCCTGGTCTTCGTTACGTTCTCGATGGTAAACTTCGTTCTTCCACCCTTGCCCGCTAACCTTCCAATCGCCCTGGACCGGTGATCGCCTTTTATTTGTTGCCTGACATCCTGTATCTCGAAGGATTCCACAAAGAGGTCGTCCAGACGTAACAAGGCTAAAGCGTCCTCCACCTCGAATCCGCAGATGAACGCTTTCACGAAGTCCGCCGCTCTTTGGAGATACGAAATGTCCGGGGTCTCTGGCGCCGTTCTAATTTCCACATTCCTGGTCTTCAGGTTGAAACGTATTTGAAGCTTGAGATGCTCGGTGACGGGTGTAAATATCTTTAACCAGTTTTCCTTCAAAGGCGAGTATCTGTGCGCTGGTACCGATATCTACAATAAAATTAATTTGTTTAAAATCAAGTTTAATTTATCAATTTTTTCATTATATTTAAAGGTAATTTGGATGAAAGTATAACTGTTTCATCAATGAAATCCTTTTATAAAAATCACAAAAAAATCATAAAATTGTTTTATGGATTTACTTTTATCTATGTTATATTTTGTCGTTAATATCACATTACCTTTCTTTGTTCTCCACCTTGTACGTTCTTGGCCCTCTTTTTAGCCGGCTGCTGCTTCTTTACCTTTCCCTCTATCCCATTAATCGTCTCTACCTAAAGAAAAAAAAAAAAACATTTTTCTCAGAATGTAATTAATGACAAAAATAAATCGTACGAAAGATGCGATTTTCGTAAAAGGTTATCTTTTACGAAGTACAGTTATTCTTCGATCAAAGTTGCCTTCAGAATAACTCAAATTCAGAATAACATTACTTGTCTTTTAACAAAGTAGGTACCTCCATGCGATCGTCGTCGACTTGACGTTTCTTGGACGATTGCGTCGTTTCAATCTCCTGCCGAGACTGACGTTGATCCGCGGCACTCATTTCTCGTGCGTGGCTCCTTTTTCACTCTACAGAAATATATATTTACGAAATTAATCCGTTCTCTCTCGCCGCGTGGCTCGCACGTGGATCGGTGATAACCAAAAGCAGCCAAAACGAGATGTGGATCAGGTGGAGCATTAAAAAAGTTCGAAGCGTGCGCGGTAGAGCGAGCTGTAGTAGCTGCTGCTGCTGTGCTGTTACTGCTGTGTGGTGTGTGTGTGTTTGTGTGGCGACGTCGCTTTCGTGTCCACCGGACGCTAGAAATCAATCCCAGATCTCGGACAGGAAGTGAATTGACCAATCGCATCTGAACAATTTAACCCATTAATTCTCTCTATCTCGAGACATTTCGGAGCGATTTTTAGCGACATTGTGGACAAAAGGATTAAACGGAGCGGACAAATCTTTCGCTCTCGCGATAAGTCTGATTGGTTATCGCGTCGTCTCTTGGCACACGCAGCCTGCATGAGCTGTATGTAGAAACCATAAAGCCGTGGGCACTTTCCGTTCAACTTTATCTCTCTCTCTCTCTCGCTCAAAAACTTGCTCCGCAACTCCGCGGCGCCCTGCCCTGCCCAGCTATTTTATGTTACTTCTGTGCTTCATACCACTATGGAAAATAAAGATTGTTCGCTTAGCCGAACGTTAGAATATATGAACGAATTTTATAATATTATATAACAGTTGAGAAAATAATTATATGTAGTAATTACGTAGCAAATTATATATAAAAATTACTTTTGTAAATTTTTTTCTTTTTTTTTTTTTATTGAACGTAGTCGTTGCTAGAATATATTTTCAGCGTCTAAACTTTATAAAACAATACATTATGCAAATTAATTATTTTCGTTAATAGAATTGCAAAATAGAGGCTGAATTCATCGATTCTCGATAACATCTGATCTGAAAGGTCAACAGGTCCGTATGTCGGTCTTCCGCGTGAATAATTCCCGTGATACTTGTGACAGAGAACTTTTTATTCGCAAAAACTTTCCGCTTATACAGCACGTTTTTCGACTGTTGTAAAAAATGATAGACGCAAAAATCTTATCAACGCGTCTTTTTTCATCATTTTTCAATTTTTCATGCTCGATCAGACGTCATCGTCCAAGAGAAACAGCTGACACGGATATAAACACACGATTAGAACAGAATTGCTCCGCATGCGAATAAAAAGAATCGAACTAAAAAATTACAATGTCTCAAACGCAATTTTCATGTAAAGCGTGAAAATGAGATCTTCGTGTTTTTCACATACATTACACGTTGCATACATAACAAATGTATAAATTATAATTTAAAATAAAATATCTCACGCGAGAAAGATGAAATTTTTGTACATTGTACCGATTAATAATTCTAGCAACAAATAATGCAAGAGATAATACAGATGAATTGTGATGTGTCTGTAATTTTTATGCGGCATGTTTGTTTTCGAATAAATCTCTTTGAAATATTGATTAAATAAACGCTGGGTAAACAAGTTGCTGTGATGTGCGATTACACTTGAAAGTAAAATAAAAAATATAAAAATTAAATTAATAAAAATATAAAAAATTACATATCTAAATTATTTGCTCACGTTAAATAATATTTAACAGTTAGAATGCTAGCGAACGCTACGTTCTAACAGAATCGCTCGATGAAAATGGGTAGAATACAATATAAAACAAGCAAACGCATTTTTTTTATAACACATTTTTCATTGTCTTATAAGTCTATGGTAATTAATAATTAATAACAAGAAAAAAACCTTTTTCATCAATGTGTCTACAATAATTATTAAAAGATACAATTAGCAAATTACTATATCGTGTATTCACTTTGTGTAATAATAGGTAATAATATAATTGTAATATTTTCTCCATATAATCATAGCGCGATATCTCTCACGTGCTCAATCGTTTCTACAAATATAATATATGGTATCTAATTCTTTATTTCATATATATATATATATATATATATATATCTTTATTATATATTTATATATATATATCGATTTATCCACTTGGATTATTATCAATCGTTTACTTCCTCTTTACTGCTATTTATATATCGTATAACCAAATACTAAAAATACAAATGTTTTGCATATAGCAGGTTTTAAAGTCATCAAACCACAATCCCCAATCTGGTGATCTTAAAACGCACATCCATATACATATTTTTTTGCGGATTTGCCTACAAAATTAAGGAGCTCGCTTGAAGCATGCAATTATATTTATACATATATATAAACTATATATTGTATATATATATATATTATATAATATATAATACATATTATATAATATTTATATATGTGTGTATATATATATATATAAACAAACGTGAAAGATCATTTTATTCGGCATTAATTATTGCAGATTGCGTGTAGATGGTAGCACGTAAACTACATCGTTATACGAACCACAAAGTATCAACACCAATTATTTATTGAGCTTGTCACACGTACATCCGCTTCTCCAAATTACTGATGGCTATGCCCGACAGTCACCTCACATCGTTAACTCGGCATCTGATCTTTGGCGCATTATTTGACCGCTCCCCCTTCACATTGCACGCACGTGATTATATACGGCAGAGATACTTTAGAAGCTCCTTAATTATGCGAGCACGCTAAATGTCCGCTTATACTTAAGATATATCCGTATTTACACAAAGAGCTTACTTTTTCTTTATAATCTATACAATCATATAAATGTAATATTCAATGATAAAATTGTAACATAATAATGCCTAGCCTATCTATCTAATGCGAAAGAGAATATATTTTTACATCGAAATTACAATCCTTCAATTATTCCTGTATATTCTGCAATTAAATTATTATATATTACACTCCTATTTGCATTACAGGATACGAATGAAATCAAGTCCTGTACCCATTTCTTCATATTTTTATGTACAATCAGGTTGCGTAATTTCCCATCCAAGTAAAATAAGCATGCTATTATATACAATATGTGACCCGGTACGTGTGTATGTGTACGTGTGGGTGTTTCTTGTCTCTATAATAGAAATAAATTCTAATAAACAAGCAATATTTTAACTAAATAATTTAAATCGATATTGAAAATAGGAACAAATTCAACGAAGCTACAACCCAAGAAGCAGTCTCTGTCTCTCTTAATTTTTTTTTGGGTATAGATCGGTGAAATTCTTTCCTATTTTGAATATTATTAAATTCAGTATTTAATCTTAGTATGAGAAAAGCATTTTTATTAAAGAAGTGTCGCCTGGTAGCCATCGAGCCTTTGGGAAATGTAGTGGAAAATTTTTGATGCACACACTATGTAGTTGAGCACTGCACTTATCGTATTTTGTACATTCTATGCCTGTAACAATTATTACGACGATCTTTCTTTTATATAACAAATGTTTGGTCTGTGACGAGAAATTGGAGATTTATACAAAATTATCTATGCTCTCAGACACAATATTATAATCACATTTTAATACGTAATTTTTGACAGTGCATACACATTGGTATAATTCATAATTACAATTGCAGACAAATACCCTATAAGTAGAACATATTTATCCGTATTGATGTGTCACAGAGGGACACTGTCTATAGAGCGTTTAACACACATGTAACAGAAAATTTAAGGGTATTTGTAGGAAAATAGTTAAGATAAATAATTATTATATGCTTTACAACATTTTGCGTGTGAATTTTGTTAAAAAAACTCGAACTTATGGTCCCACGCAATATTATTTTCTAAATGACATTCTAAATTTGATTTGTCGTGTCAAAAAAGAAAGGCTGTCTATTATTGGGCCTGGATAAGAAATGCACATTTTCATGAAAAATTTGAACAGTGCTATGTGATGACTACTGCAGGCTCAGCTAGAACTTTCAAAGATTCTCAACTGTGTGTAAGTTACATTTATACAATATAAAACTAGATTATCTGTTCACAAAAACAATAATCGAAAATAATAAATCACATACATAGATTTACATTTGTATATACGTATGCACATATATAATTCAATTGTGGTTTTTAAATTTGTATAAGAAGAGTTAGTATCTTAATTACATGAACGCGAGATAATAATTAATAATAATGACACTTACGACTTCTTGCACGATTTTAATTATTACTAATTCAATAAAAATTTAAACAGTTCCTATATATACAACGGGTAGTGCTTTTTGTCCATCTTTACAAGAAATTATTTACAAAATATATTCATTCATATATTACCTATATCAAATTAACATTTTTTTTTGTATTAATTAGTTTTCTTATAATAGCTATTCTTATCATCTTCACATATTCATGCGTGTCTTCCAACGTTCACTGTATTTGCGTTTCATAAATAAAATAAATCCTTTTCAAAAAGTCCTACGTCCCGGCTTCTGCGATATTCTAACAACTTAAGACGAACCTCTTACTGAAAGACTATGTTTGCTAAGTCTGAAAAACGAAAATATTACAATAATGTGATTACGAAACTTAATCGCTAAATTGTTGATTAAAATATACATTCATCTCTTGGAATATTAATTACAAATGTGAAAAACAGCTTTCACGTTTATCATTGTCCTTAAATATCAATATGTAAATTTATTACTCCCAGTAAGATGTAATAGCGGTATAATTGTCCAAGTATCGGACCAACGTCTCAAAAACATTTTCATCTTTCGCCTAGATAAGTACGAAAGCGTTACTGCTTTGTGTCTTGGCGTGGAGCTTATAGCATATGGTAGAAACTAATTTTGCACTTCGTGCAAAAATTCATATATCATTATTTTATGTATATATATATACACGTATGTACATACATACGTATATGTAGATATATATACATAATATATATGTGCACTTTACCTATATGTATGTACAGAAAACTTTTATAACAAATAGAGATGACACACAATAAATAAATATGTATACACAAACAGAGACATTTCTTAAACAGAGTCTATCAGCAAAGTCGTCAGAGTAGCAATCTAAGCTCCACCAGTATTAATAAATTTGTCCACGGTATATGTTTTACTTACGGCAGTACAATCGGATTCGCGTTTTTTTTTTAATGCCTTAAAAATTTGGGCTTTCTTTTACCGTTATTATTTTGTACTGATACAATGAACGAAAGAAATTATGTGAAAGAAGATGACTGAAACATAAATATATAATTTGGGCTTCCTTAAATTTCCTTAAATCTCTATAAAGCGAGCTTCCCTCTTACATCTAATAACGTTAGAAAATTCTGAAATTGCACATCGAAGAATGGAAGTTTCTAGAACTCGACGATAGAATGAAACATTTGACTGGTAAAAGAAAGTTACATACACTCGGCAGTTTTGGGTTAGTTCAGTTACTTAGATCGTAGTGTAATGCATTGAGCAAGTCATATCTGAGTAACTAAACTTTGCTGTTTATAGGAGTACAGCATAAACGAGAGAACGCTGGACGGTGAGAAGGTAGAATAGAGCAAGATTGTGCCTTTCATTTTTGTTCTTGTCGTCGTTTGCGCGATAATTAAACATTTAAGGATATAACAATTAATAATGGATAGTTTACTAAATGTA